GTCCATGCCTCATTTTTTTTGTTTATGTCCCTGTATGCAAACAGAGACACATCATATATAGCTGGGTAACCGGCCACAGCAATAATAAGTCTCTCCTCCATTGTGCCTAGGAACGGTTGGGTCAGAACAAAAGTTTACACGCTTATGTTCTGCGGCGCTCTCTTTAGCGGAGCATCTCTACATTCCCATTGGTTGCCGCCCAACCACTCATTACCATAAAGTTGACTGGGATTCAACTTCTGTCTGACACTCCCGCCGCCCAGATCGCGACGCGCCACGCCGTTCCTCGACGCTTCCCGACGCTCCCTCCCATAGAGAATGAACGACTTCCGGTCGCTTTGACGCTCTCGCCGCTCACAGTGTGAATGTAGCATAAGTATGGGATTTCAGATTAAAAATGCCACTATAGTGTAGTGGGATGTACCTGGTAGAGAAAGGGTGTTGCTAGCTTCCTTGTTCTTGTTATTTTTTTCCTTCTTGAACTTGGGGACAAGACGGAACTTGCCACTACGGTTTCGCTTGTACAAATCCATCAGGTGTACCTGCACAAAGGTCAGCATGTGAGCCAAATCAGCAATCAGATTAAAGGATTTATCTTAGAGGAGCTGGGAATGAGAGGTTGATTTTGAGATAGAGGCATGGTAATAGGTTTGGAGGGTAGGTCAAATTGTTACAGCAGTACCCCAAGATGTGGTCTGATTTACCTCATCTGCTGGTTCAATCAGCTGGCAAAGCCAAGCAATGTCTGCCAGCCTCTGAAGATGCTGGGTGACATTGGTTAGGGAACCATTTAATTGCTCTTTTTGTGGAGGGTCCAGCTGCTGGAAAATGCACATAATATCAATTACAACTGAGCGCATCTGAAAAGAGATGTTAAAGTGATGTATACTATAGGGTTTGAGTAATTTGTTTGTGTGTATAATATGTCATACTTACCATACACATTTTGCTAGCCAGGAGCAGTTCCGTTTCATTATGAAGGGCTTTAACATTGCTTACCATCTGAACGACTGAACTGCAATTCAGGCCCTGAAGATGAAACACAGTCAAATCATTTATGTATATATTGTATGCCTAAATAATGCCGATACAGTAGTCGGACACTTACCAAAATAATATTCACTTCAGCTCAATTACACTTTATTTGTATAGCGCATTTTCACATTCAACATTACCTTGTCTCAAAGCACTTTACATTATCCCTGCCAGAAATATAATGTAAATAATATAAAAAATATATATAATGTGAATAATATGATGGCTTTTTATGGACCAGCACATGAATCTGTGCTAATATTAAGTTACACACAAGCACGCACACACCAATCAGTCAAAACATTATCACCACCCCCACATGAGCCGAATAATGCTGAATATCTAGTAAATATGGTATGTTTCAAGTTCTGGGATATATTAGACAGTAAGGTAACATTCAGTATTCATAGTCGACATGAATTGAATTCAGAAGAAATGGACGGGGACAAACAAGGGACAAGTCATTATAGCTTGTCCACAGAACATCTCCAAAAAGGGCAAAGCTTGTGGGGTGCTCATGGGTAGCCATGGTGAGTATCAACTGAGACTGGTCTCAAAGGGGAAAAACCCCCTCAGAGTATTGGGCAACCAAGACTCATTAATGTGAGATGTGAACAGAGGTGTAAAGAGTACCTGAAAACCATACTTGAGTAAGAG